GGGGAATCTGGGTCATGTACACCGCCTACAATATCACACACAGATACAGACCGTGTCGCATCCGGCGCTTCGTCTCAATTATTTCACAGAATACTTGATTCTGATTGGCCATGACACTGTGTGTGTGTGTGTGTGTCTCTGTGTGTGTGTCTGTGTGTGTGTCTGTGTGTGTGTCTGTGTGTGTGTCTGTGGTTAGTGATGATGCTGGATGTTAATGTGATTCTCTATACCTGTGAGGAGAACTGAACATAATTATATAAAATATATTAATGAAATAATTACATATAAAACAATCTTGCAATGTTGTAAAATTAATCAATTCCATTTCAAATTCGATTTCAGTCGTAACAGCTCTACAAAACAACATTCTGTTTTCCTCTAACTAAATTAAACATTAAAAACAAAATAATGCATTTAACAAAATTCAAATATATGACCTTTTAGTCACTATATTAATTTGTTAGGCTGTTACTGTCACGAATACAAAGGAGGATTCAGTAGCGAATGTGAAATATAACAATTTATTTAGAAGAGTCCCAACCAGACAAAAGGCAAGAGTCAAATAAAGCATGTGCAGGATATAATCACTCTTGGTAGCACAGGGACGCAAATGGGCAGCCGTGGATATCCCGGGAACATACAATCCGTAGGAGAAAACTGGAACCGAAATCCAATGAGACGAAGAACAGGAACAGGGAACTTGAACACAGCGGGAACACCAAACGATCTGACAACACAGGACGGATAGCACAGGTATTAAATAGCTGAGCTGATGAGCTACAGCTGGCGCTGATCAACCAGTCAGCAGCAATCACGACACACCCACTCACACACACATAAACACAGAGCGAGAATGAATCAGTGAACCCATAAACCGTGACAGTACCCCTCCCACTAGGAGCGCCCCTTGGCGCTCCCAGGCGAACTTACCCGTTGATTGTAATCATCAATAAGGGAGTGATCCAGAATGTCCCTTGCAGGAACCCAACTTCTCTCCTCTGGACAGTAACCTTCCCAGTCCACCAAGTACTGAAATCCGCGTCCCCTCCGTCTCGAGTCCAGAATACGGTTGACCGAATAAGTTGGTTCCCCATCTACGAGGCCCCCCCGGGGGTTGATTGGAAGTCTTACCACGAGCACAAACTGAGCAGGCCAAAACAAAATCCCGGATGTCACGAGCCATAGAACGCCACCAGAATCGCTGTTTAACAAAAAAGTTTGTATGATTCACTCCTGGATGACAAGCCACGTTGGAACAATGACCCCACCGAATAACGTCAGACCGTAATCTCTCCGGCACAAATAACCGACCCGGTGGGCACCCGGGCGTTACCCCTTCTAAGGCCGCACGAACCTTTGACTCGACCTCCCATGTGAGTGTAGAGACAATGAGTCTCTCAGGTATTATACACTCGGGAGTAGACGGGTGCTCGGAAAAATCAAATATACGAGATAAGGCGTCGGGTTTGATGTTCATGGAACCCGGACGGTAGGAAAGAGAAAAGTCAAAACGACTGAAACAAAGTGCCCACCGAGCCTGCCTGGAATTGAGATGTTTAGCGGATCTAATATACTCAAGGTTCTTATGATCAGTCCAGACGATAAAGGGTACCCCCGAACCCTCTAACCAATGATGCCATTCCTCCAAAGTTAACTTGACTGCCAGCAACTCTCTGTTACCAATGTCGTAATTACGTTCAGCGGACGACAAACGATGAGAAAAAAAATGCGCAAGGGTGCATCTTGTCATCCGAGGAAGAGCGCTGGGAAAGAACCGCGCCTACCCCCACCTCTGACGCATCGACCTCCACTACAAACTGACGTGTGGGATGAGGGGCTATGAGAATGGGAGCTGAAACAAAGCGGCTCTTGAGGTTGGCAAATGCAGTTTCAGCTGCACTGGACCACCTGAACATAGTTCTGGTGGAGGTCAAGGCAGTCAGAGGAGTGGCTAGTTGGCTGAAATTGTGAATAAAACGGCGGTAGAAATTGGCGAACCCCAGAAACCTCTGCAGGGTCTTACGGGAATCTGGGGTTGGCCAATCCACTACAGCCTTAACCTTCCCTGCAACCGCTCGAAGACTGAAGACATCAATGGCAAAGGATAAGTATTCTTTACTGTGATGTTTTTCAACCATCGGTAATCAATGCATGGTCGCAGGGAACCATCCTTCTTCCCCACAAAAAAACCCCCTGCCCCCGTGGGAGAAGAGGAAGGACGAATGAGCCCGGCAGCTAGAGAATCAGAAATGTCCATGGCCTCCCTTTCTGGAGCAGAAAGCAAGTATAACCTGCCCTTAGGTGGAGACGTACCTGGTACTAGATCTATAGCACAGTCATAGGGACGATGTGGAGGAAGAGAAGCAGCCCGGGACTTACTGAACACTTCCTTCAGGTCGAGGTACTCCTTGGGCACGTTAGACAGGTTCACCGGCTCATTCTGCAACAAAGAACAAGACACAGACGAACAAGCAGACATAAGACAAGAAGCATAACACTGATCACTCCACGCCGAGATGGAATTCTGGCCCCAGTCCACCCTAGGATTGTGATGCACCAGCCAGGGGTGGCCCAGAACGACAGGAGCCAGTGGAGATTCAGTGAGCAGAAGTGTGAGTTTCTCAATATGATTTCCTGAGGTGATGAGGGTGACAGGTTCAGTAGTATGTGTGATGCTAGGAAGAGCCTGTCCGTTGAGTGCGTTGACAGAGATAATATGGGTGAGAGGAACAATGGGGATCTGAAGGTGTTGTGCTAAGTTGTAGTCCATAAAATTACCTTCTGCTCCGGAATCCAGCAGGGCCTGGCAGTTGTGGATTCCGGCTGCCCATTGCAGTCTTACCGGGAGGAGAGTTGAGGACGAGGATTTTCCCAGGGACAATCCACCCGACAGTAACCTCATCTCTACTGCCGGGCTTGGCCTTTTACCTGACAGTCAGCCAGGAAGTGACCCGCAGCGCCGCAATACAGACACAGTCCCCTTGCTCTCCGACGGTCTCTCTCCTCCCGGGAAAGCCGAGCTCTTCCCACCTGCATGGGTTCATAATCCGAGGTGTGACTGACCGTATTACAGGAACTGGTAGTGAAATACTCAGGAAGTTCCGACGCCAGCTGGCGGCGTCCTCGCTGATCACGTTGATGTAGACGGGCATCTACCCGAAGAGCTAATTCGATGAGTCCATCAAGATCAGTGGGTAATTCCATCGTAAAAATCCTTCTGAATCCGGTCAGCCAACCAATGCAGGAACATGTCCCACTGCGCCTCCTTGTTCCACTTGCACTCAGCTGCCAGTGTCCGGAACTCAATGGAATAATCCGAGACGGGTCTGTTTTCCTGCCGTAGATCGGCTAACATGCGTGCCGCCTCGCGACCCGCTACCGCGCGATCAAACACCCGTCTCATCTCCTCCGCGAGATTGTGGAACGAAGAGCAGCAAGGATGTTGGTTCTCCCACACCGCCGTTCCCCACAGAGCTGCCCGTCCCGACAGCAATGTCAACACTAAAGCCACTTTAGACTGTTCGGTAGAAAAAGTCAAAGGTTGCAGAGAAAAGAACATGGAGCATTTAGTGAAGTGATGAGGGTGACAGGCCCAATAGTATGTGTGATGCTAGGAAGAGCCTGTCCATTGAGTGCGTTGACAGAGATTGTATGGGTGAGAGGAACAATGGGACTCTGAAGGTGTTGTGCCAAGTTGTAGTACATAAAGTTAACTTCTGCTCCGGAATCCAGCAGGGCCTGGCAGTTGTGGACTCTGGCTGCCCATTGCAGTCTTACCGGGAGGAGAGTTGTGGACGAGGATTTTCCCAGGGACAATCCACCCGACAGTAGCCTCAGCTCTACTGCCGGGCTTGGCCTTTTATTTGACAGTCAGCTAGGAAGTGACCCGCAGCGCCGCAATATAAACACAGTCCCCTTGCTCTCCGACGGTCTCTCTCCTCCCGGGAAAGCCGAGCTCTTCCCACCTGCATGGGTTCATAATCCGAGGTGTGACTGACCGTATTACAGGAACTGGCAGTGGAATACTTAGGAAGTTCCGACGCCAGCTGGCGGCGTCCTCGCTGATCACGTTGATGTAGACGTGCATCTACCCGAAGAGCTAATTCGATGAGTCCATCAAGATCAGTGGGTAATTCCATCGTGAAAATCTCCTGAATCCGGTCAGCCAACCCATGCAGGAACATGTCCCACTGCGCCTCCTCGTTCCACTTGCACTCAGCTGCCAATGTCCGGAACTCGATGGAATAATCCGAGATGGGTCTGTTCTCCTGCCATGGATTGGCTAACATGCGTGCCGCCTCACGACCCGCTACCGCGCGATCAAACACCCGTTTCATCTCCTCCGAGAGTTTGTGGAACGAAGAGCAGCAAGGATGTTGGTTCTCCCACACCGCCGTTCCCCACAGAGCTGCCCGTCCCGCCAGCGATGTCAACACTAAAGCCACTTTAGACTGTTCGGTAGAAAAAGTCAAAGGTTGCAGAGAAAAGAACATTGAGCATTTAGTTAAAAATGCTCTACAAAGATTGGGCTCATCAGCATACGCTTCTGGTGTGGGTAGACGCGGCTCGTGTTGATGTTTGGTGCTTCTAGAAGTGGGGAGAACTGGCGGCGGGGGCGGCGCAGTGGGCGATCTCAGTTGTTGGAATTGGGTAGTGAGGTCGGACACCTGCGCTACCAAGGCTTGCACAGCTTGACCCGTTGCTAACATCTGTTCCTCCTGATGATCCATGCGTGCGTTGTTGTTGGACAAAAAGTCCCGTAGATCCGATGCATTCGCTGAATCCATAGGTTGGTCAGATCGTTCTGTCACGAATACAAAGGAGGATTCAGTAGCGAATGTGAAATATAACAATTTATTTAGAAGAGTCCCAACCAGACAAAAGGCAAGAGTCAAATAAAGAATGTGCAGGATATAGTCACTCTTGGTAGCACAGGGACGCAAATGTTCTAATGTGTGTGTGTGTGTGTGTGTGTGTGTGTTTGTGTCTGTGTTCTGCAGGTCTGATTCTGTTGTTCTATCTGATCTTCTACACATTTCTGGCTGGCATGTTCTGTCTCACCATGTATGTGATGCTGCTGACACTGGATGATTATCAGCCCACTTGGCAGGACCGTCTGGCTACACCAGGTACACACACACA